TGCTGTAGATACTTTAATTGGATTCTGGGAGTTGAAGTCCACTCATCTTAAAGTTGCTAAGGTTGAGAAACTGCTGTAGATACTTTAATTGGATTCTGGGAGTTGAAGTCCACTCATCTTAAAGTTGCTAAGGTTGAGAAACTGCTGTAGATACTTTAATTGGATTCTGGGAGTTGAAGTCCACTCATCTTAAAGTTGCTAAGGTTGAGAAACTGCTGTAGATACTTTAATTGGATTCTGGGAGTTGAAGTCCACTCATCTTAAAGTTGCTAAGGTTGAGAAACTGCTGTAGATACTTTAATTGGATTCTGGGAGTTGAAGTCCACTCATCTTAAAGTTGCTAAGGTTGAGAAACTGCTGTAGATACTTTAACTGGATTCCCGCACTGAGCACAGGGTTGGCTCAGAGGCCTATCGAGAGCGTTCTAGCTCCACAACTCTTTGATCTCTTTACCTGTCCCATAAAATCGGTGAAGAAGAGCATGTTGGAAAGGAAAGCTGTCCATCCAATCAGATGACTCAGACATAACCAGCGGTAGTGAGATGGCATGCTTAGAAGGGCTTTTAGGAGAGACTTAATGGTCATCTGTCTCTGAACCTGGAAGGGGAAAAAACATGAATAAAGCCTCATATTTTACGAATGACCAGAGATATGACAGCTGCGGTCCAAACATCTGGAAGATCTATCTTTGATCTAAAATATTTTATTGATTGATTGATTGATTGATTTGTTAAATGTTTATGCCGCCCATCTCCCAATTAAAGTAAAACCCACAGACAGTTAAAAAATAAATACCCCATTAATTAATTAATTAATTAATTAGTCAGGCTACAAAAACAAACCCTGTACATAAATACCTGACATATTTCTGTCAATCAGACACATACAGAGAGAGAAAGAGAAACATTTCTCATGTTTTCAAGATTGTGTAGCAAGCACAAACTTTTCATGTATACAAGATACTAGTAACTTGGAGTATCCATGGGGAACATTTAGGCAAAACCAACAAAAATCCCTTTGAAGACTAATAGCCTAAGCTTGGGGAGAATGAATCCGTGTTGTCAAAGATAAAACTGAGCTGCGGATCCATTCCATTCAGATAAATAGATTAAATCTCACCCCAGTTGTTTTCTATAGTTCTTTGTGATGACATTTTCTGAATTGTGCGCAAAGTTTAGAAAAGGAATAATTCATGACAGTTGCTTATTTATTTATTGGATTTATTTGTGTACCACCCATTTCCAAAGATTCCATTCCAGACTCAGGTTTTTTTATTTTGGACCACGTGACATGAACCAGACCACTTTCCATGAGATGGGAGATTGCAGGATCTCCAGTTCAATGATTAAAATAAAACCAATTGGAAACATAAAAAGGACTGTTACCTGAATGTCTGATTTTATGGTGAGTTTCTGCTGCTGAGGTGAAATCTGTATTTCATTGTATTCACTGTTATAATGTTCATCCTTGTCACTTCCCATGGCCCCGTATTGACCAGGCTTAGAGTTTTTCACCAGGGCTTCAGACTCTGCACTGACGTGGGCAAGAGGCCTTTCAGGAAAGCTGCACAAATGCACAGCAAGACAGAGCAGGAACACAACAGCAGCAAAACAGAACATCACATGGAATTCCGACCTGAAGTATTTTCCCAAAATGGTGGTTCCCCAATCAATGGCCCCTGTCAGGTATCCAAGAGCCCCTCCAAGACCTACAAAAGAAAAAAAGAAAAAGGCTATTCATATTAGCATAGACAGTGTGAATCCATTTGATGCTAAGATGTCAGATTACTGCCACAGTCAAGTCCGTTTGGCAAATGTTGGTGTTGAGTCTATGGCTGTTTCCTGTCTATTTCATCACAGAGCATTCAAACTTTATTATACGCTATATGGATTGATTGAAAATGTGCCATCAAGTCTGTGTCAACTGTTAGCAACCACGGAGATAGATTTTCTGCATGATGAATGATGTCCTATAATAATACATTAAAACATGCAGCTAGCAAAACTAAACTTTGGAGGTTTCTATAGTTCTTGTGGGCAGATGAACTGAAATACCTTATCATTTAGGCCACTGTCACTAGAAATCAGCTCCTCTGGAGGGCCCAGTGAGATGAGTCTGGGGCGAGGGCGGGTGCAGACGAGAGACAGCCGTGCAGCATTACAACCAGAGGCAAGTGAATCTACTGAGACAGGCCATTTGTTCAACCCTGATTAGCTCTAACAAGGTCTAGGCCAGAGGCTAAGTCCATTAGTAGGTGCTTTTTAAACTAGGGGTGTTGTGACTAAACCTAAAGACTTCTGCTTACAGATGTCTGTAATGTATTTGCTTTGTTAAATTTATATCCTGCCTTTCCTCTACAGCAGGGTTTCTCAACCTCAGCAACTTTAAGATCTGTGGACTTCAACTCCCAGAATTCCCTAGCCAGACAGGGGAATTCTGGGAGTTCCC